ATAGACAAATGCAAAATTCTAAATGTTGGACAGGAAAATAACCAGCCACATATAAACTAGTAATTACTCTTAATATTACGGATTGCGAAAGGATTTGGGGGGTTGGTAGCAGTATAATCTAAAACGCAAGCAACAGTTTCATTAGTGTTCGCAAAAACGCTAACAGAATCCTGGCTTCATACAAGAATATAAAAAATTTGAAGTCCACAGTTTGTTCTTAACTAATGTATATTTTTTGGTAAGCCTCATTTGATTATGCTGCACAGTTTGGTCCCGTATTACAGAATGATATAAATGGGACTGGGAAACGTACAAAGGAGGATGACAAAGTTGATCCCATTGTATCAGAAATCTTCCCTATAGGATAGACTAGGGGCCTGAACCTCACTCTCTAAAAGCGTAAAAATTAGGGGGATATGACTGAGGTGTATAAATGGAAAACAGGAATTAATAAAGAAGATGTAAATAGGGTTTCTAAAATATCTAACATAGACAGGAAATCTCAGCAATGGCCCTTTAAATGGGAAAAAATTTAGATTCAGGAAAGATACAGAAAGCACTGGTTTGGTAATAGAGTTGGGAGAGTGGGAAAAAACCCCAGTACGTCATTTTCGCTAAGTAAGAACATTTTTAGTTGGAGACAATCAATTTAAGTTTAAGGGATAGGCCTTTTTTCTTGGACAGGAAGAGGGAAGGCAAGGTATGTTTTCTGGGGAAAGGGATGGGGATATTGTTAGCCGTCGGACGACATAATAAAAGGTAATGGGAGCAAACCTATATCTGCCTCAAAGCAGGGAGGAACAATGGGTTTCAGCATGAGTGGGACTGATTAGCAGGTATTTAAACAACAAAAGAAATAATTAGGGAAAAAGGGTGGGGAAACCCCGTCATATGTGGTATTTGCCAGGAGGGAGTTGGAAAGATGGTTGTCCCGGCAATTGGTGTCAAATTTCTGGCTACAAATACTGTAAAGAAAATGCGGGAACATTCATTTACAACGGGACCTCTTCTATGCAAAATGACATGTATGCCAGGATGGGGTTCACTATCTGGTCTGGGGTGGGGCACTGGCAACTGCAGTGGAGGGAGCTGTTAGGGCTTTAAATAGGATAGTTAGTGGTATGGGTTTTGCAGGAATACATGAAGTCCCTGTAGTAATATTATGAGTTCTAGGGGAGCAAGTAATAAGCAGAATGAGGTAATATTGGAAAGCCCGTGGCATAAGGGGGACAAGGAAGTAATAGGGTTTAGTGGAAAATGGAAATAGCGGAAGGGTAAGAGAAGGGGGTCTTTAAAATATATTATCTAATACCTAGTGTTTTGAATAAGATGGACGAGTTGAAATTAGTTTCTATGCAGGTAAATTGATGTATTTGCTATCACTGGCATGGTTAAAATTTCCAAGGTCGGGACATGCCGCAAAAAAGTACATTAAGGTTTTAAATTGTTCCAATAGATAAAGTATCGGGAAGGGGGGGAGTGGCACTGTATGGGGCCGTGATCGCTTGAACTGTTTGCATAAAAACGGGCATTAAGGGGGAAGTAAACATTTCAGATCGTCCCAGATAGATTTTAGATGGCAGAAAATTGATTCTAGGAGTGATTTTACAACCCCAAACTTGATAGGGACCAAGGAAATTTCTATGGGAAGGGAAATGTAAGGCCACAAGGCACAAATAATGTAGTAATTTTTAGGAATTTTCTTAATCGTTGGAATTTCTTGAACCCGGGAATTATAATCAAATGACTTCTTAGTAGTTCAGGACTGTTTTTTGAAGCCTTTGTGACCCGAACCTACAGGGGAATAACCTGCTTTCTTGGCTCTGGCAAACAGGGAAACCCTTGTTAATAATTTTGAAATTACAGAGGAACTCGCATAAGCGATCACAAATCAATTACCTTTAGCATAGAATGGAAGTATGACAGTAGGGATAATTCAGTAATGGTCCCAGATTTTGCTTAGCAATTACAATGGCTTAGAGAACACTTATCATCTGATGACTGGTGTAACGAAGAGAGCTATCAATATGACAGCTTTCTGAACATGACTAACGCGAGGGGCTGGAGTTTTGAGACTATGACCGCGGGTTCAATCCCGGCCGGGGTAATGGCTTTCTGAACACTATACATGCTGCTCAAAGAACATTTGTTCCGTATAAAGAAATTAGATCGAATAAAAATGACCCAAAATGGATGAATAATAGGCTCAAATATCTTTTAGGCCAGAAGAAAGGAATTTATAGACGTATCAAAAGAGGTAAGGGTCATCTTATGAATCAGTATATTGACATTAAGAGGGGCGTTAAAAAGGGGACAAGAAAAGCTAAAAGGGAGTACGAAATTAAAGTTGCACGGGATTCGAAAACTAACCCAAAAAGTTTTTTCCAGGTGTATAGAACAAAAGTTAGAGATAAGATAGGGTCCCTTAAAAGTAACTATGGGCATCTTACTGACAAAGAGAATGAAATGTGCTCGATTTTAAATAATTATTTTCTCTCGGTTTTTACACAGGCAGACACTAACAATATCCCAGTAATTAATTTTTATAGTGGGCTAGAAGAAGATAAATTATGTAACATCGCAGTCACTAGTGAAATGGTTATGAAACAAATAGACCGACTGAAGCAAAATAAATCGCCGGGTCCTGATAAGCTTTTTTCAAGGGTTCTTAAGGAATGCAAAACGGAACTCTGTGAACCATTAACTAATATTTTTAATTTATCTCTTCAAACAGGTGTAGTGTCTGATATGTGGAAGATGGCTAATGTAATTCCTATTTTTAAAGCAGGAGACAAGTCGTTACCTTCAAATTACCGCCCAATAATCCTGACCTCAATTGTAGGCAAATTTGCTAGAGTCAATTATGGCTGAGATTATAAGAAGCCATCTGGATAAGCATAATCTAATTAATGATACTCAGCATGGATTCACGAGAGGCCGTTCTTGTCCAACTAATTTATTAACTTTCTTCAGTAAAGTTTTTGAGGCTGTTGACCACGATAAAGAATTTGATATTGTTTATTTAGATTTTAGTAAGGCTTTTTGATAGAGTACCGCACCAAAGACTGTTAAAGAAAGTGGCGGCCCACGGCATTGGGGGAAAAGTGCTCTCATGGATCGAGTCATGGTTCACAGACAGGAAGCAGAGAGTGTGCATAAATGGGGTTAAACCTGAGTGGGGATCTGTAACAAGTGGCGTTCCACAGGGATCAGTCTTGGACCCGTTGTTGTTTATAATATATATCAATGATCTTGATGAGGGAATTACAAGTGACATGAGCAAATTCGCCGATGACACAAAGATAGGTAGGATAATTGATTCAAACGTAGATATCAGGGAACTTCAGGAGGATTTAGACAAACTCAATACCTGGTCAAAAAAAGTGGCAGGTGCAGTTCAATGTAGATAAATGCAAGGTTCAGAAGCTCGGGAGTGTCCATAACCCTAGCACTTATAAGTTAAATAGTGTAGAACTTAGCCATACAGATTGCGAAAAGGATTTGGGGGTTATGATAAGCAGTAACCTTAAACCAAGACAGCAATGCCTAAGCATATGTGATAAGGCAAACAGATTACTGGAATATATATCAAGAAGTGTTCAGGGGTGTCACTAGCACGTTAAGAGACCATACAATAAGTGTCAGGGGCCCGAGACTGTTCAACTGCCTCCCAGCATACATAAGGGGGATTACTAACAGACCCCTGGCAGTCTTCAAGCTGGCACTGGACAAGCACCTAAAGTCGGTTCCTGACCAGCCGGGCTGTGTGGCTCGTACGTTGGTTTGCGTGCAGCCAGCAGTAACAGCCTGGTTGATCAGGATCTGATCCACCAGGAGGCCTGGTCACAGACCGGGCCGCGTGGGCGTTGACCCCCGGAACTCTCTCCAGGTAAAACTCCAGGTAACTCCAGGTATATTACAGCATTAGTAAGGCCTCACCTAGATTACGCAGCTTAGTTCTGGTCTCCATATTATAGAATGGACATAAATTCATTAGAAAACATTCAGCGTAGAATGACTAAGTTAATGCATAGCATTGGAAATCTTCCGTATAAAGGAAAATGTTATTATTAGACCAATTTTTCCCCTTTGGGGGAAATATTATCTGTGACACGGTGTACATTCTCAAGAAAAAAAAAAA